AACGGAAACAGAACCAATAGAAAGCACTGAACAAAATGGTAGGTGTAAATCTAAATTTATCATTAATTAAATTTAATGAAAATAGGCTAACTGCCCCAAGTCAGAATTTGCCAGACTGAATAAAAAACAAACTCAATTAATGCTATTTATAAAAACATATAGGGCCGGCCCGGTGGCGCACTGGATAGTGCGCCGCTTGGGAAGCGCGGCGGCGCTCCCGCCCGAGGGTTCGGATCCCACATACAGACCGGCTCCCGCTCACTGGCTGAGCGAGGCGCGGGAGCAACACCGAGGCTTGCAATCCCGTTGCCGGTCCCCGGTCCGGTACGGGGGCAACACTGAGGGTTGCGATCCGTTGCCGGACACGGAAAAAAGACAAAAGACAAAAAAAAAAAAAACATATATAAAATCTAAATGCAAGAATGGTTCAACATACACAAATCAGTAAATATGATATACATATTAACAGAATGAAGGACAAAAACCATATAATCAGCTCAAGTAGACTCAGAAAAAACATTTGACACAAATTCAACTTCCTTTCATGACAAAAACTCTTAACAAGTGAGGTATAGAAGGAATGTATCTCAACACAAATAAAGGCCATATATGACAAACCCACAGCTAACATCATACTCAATGGTGAAAAGTTGAAAACTTTACCTCTAAGATTAAAAACAGGACAAGGTTGCCCTTTCTCTTCACTTCTATTCAACATAGTACTGGAAGTCCCATCCAGAGCAATTAGGCAAGAGAAAGAAATAAAAGGCATCCAAATATTAAAAGAAGAAGGTAAATTGTCCTTATTTACATATGATAAGATCTCATATATAGAAAACCCTAAAGACTTTACAAAAAAAAACTGTTAGAACTAATAAATGAATTCAGTAAAGTTGCAAGATACAAAATTGACATATTAAAATCAGTAGCATTTCCATACACTACAACAAACTATCCAAAAAGAAATCAAGAAAACAATCCCATTCACAACAGCTACCAAAAAAAAGAAAAAAAAAACTTAAGAATAAATTTAACCAAGGGGGTAAAAGACCTGTACAGTGAAAACTATAAAGCAGTGATGAATGAAATTAAAGACACTAATACATGGAAAGATATCCTGTGTTCAGGGACTAGAAGAATTAATATTGTTAAAATATTCATACTACCCAAAGCGATCTACATATTTAATGCAATCCATATCAAAATTCCAGTGACATTTATCATGGAAATAGAAAAAAAAATTCTAAAATTGGTATGGAAACACAAGAGACCAGAAATAGCCAAAGCAATCTTGAGCAAAAAGAACAAAGCTAGAGGCACCAGACCTGAATTCGAAATATGCTACAAAGCTATAAGACAGCATAGTATTGTCATAAAAACAGACACATAAACCAATGGAATAGAATAAAGATTCCAGAAATAAACCTATACATTTATGATCAATTGATTTTCAATAAAGGTTCTTAGAACACACAATGGAAAAAGGAGAGTCTCTTCAATAAATAATGGTGTTGGGAAAACTGGATATCCTCACATAGAGGAATGAAATTGGACTCTGATCTCACACTGTATACAAAAATCAACTCAAAACGGATTAGATACTTAAATGTGAGACCTGAAATTGTAAAACTACTGGAAGAAAACAGGGGAAAAGCTCCATGGCATTGGTCTGGTCAGTGAATTTTTGGATATGATCTCAATCGCATAGGCAACAAAAGTGAACAAATGAGATTACATCAAACAGAAAAGTTTCAGCACAGTAAAAGAAACAATCAATGGACTGAAGAGACAACCTATAGAATAGGAGAAAAAATTGCAAACCATACATTTGATAACGGGTTAATATCTCAAGTATATAAGGAACTCAAACAACTCAATAGTAAAAAAACAAATAACCCAGTTTAAAAATGGGCAAAGGCCTTAAACAGATATCTCTCAAAAGAAGACATAAAAATGCCAACAGGTTTATGAAAAATGTTCAACATCACTTATCATTAGAGAAATGCAAATTACAGTCACAATGAGGTATCACCTCCACTTCACACCTGTTAGAATGGATGTTATCAAAAAGATGAAAGATAACAAGTGTTGGCAAGGATGTGGAGGAAAGGGAACCCTTGTCCACTGTTGGTGGGAATGTAAATTAGTACAGCCACTTAGAAAACAGTATGGAAGTTCCTCAAAAAATTAAAAACAGAACTACCACATGATCCAGCAATTCCACTACTAGGTATGTGTGTGTGTGTATACATATATATATCTCCAAAGGAAATGAAATCAATATGTTGAAGAGATATGTGCACTTCCATGTTGGTTGCAGCATAATTCACAATAACCAAAATATGGAATCAACCTAAATGTTCATCAACATGTTAATGAATGATGAAAATATGGCATATATACACAATTTAATACTATTCAGACTTAAAAAAAGAAGGAAATCCTGTCATTTGTAACAACATGGATGAACCTGGAGGATATTATACTGAGTGGAATAAGCCAGGCACAGAAATACCAGGATAATGCCATGAGCCAGGCATAATGCATATGTATATAAGTACATATGATCTCACTTATATGTGGAATCTGAAGAAGTTGAACTCATAGAAGTAGAGAATAGAATGGTGGTTACCAGGGGCTGGGGTAGGGCAGAGGTTGGGGAGTGTTGGTCAAAGGATACAAAATTTCAGTTAGACTTCAGGAACAAGTTCAAGAGATCTATTACACAATATGGTGACTATATCAGTAAGAGTAGATTTTAAGTGTTCTCACCACAAAAAATAAGTATGTGAAGTAATGTATATGTTAACTAGTTCAATTGAGCCATTCCACAGTGTATGCATATTTCAAAACATTGTGCTGTACACAATGAATATATACAATCTTTTTTTTTTTTTCCTTTTTGTCTTTTTACGTGTCCGACAACGGACCGCAACCCTCAGTGTCGCACCCGGACCGGACCAGGACCGGACCAGGACCGGCAACGGGATCGCAACCCTTGGTGCTGCGCCCGCCCCTTGCTCAGCCAGTGAGCGGGAACCGGTCTGTATGTGGGATCCGAACCCTCGGCGGGAGCGCCACCGCACTCCCAAGCGGCGCACTGTAGCAGTGCGCCACCGGGCCGGAATATATACAATCTTTTTTGTCAACTGCATTAGTCTGTTTTGTGTTGCTAACTGGGTAATTTGTAAGGAAAAGAGGTTTATTTGGCTTATGATTCTGGGACAGCTGCATCTGGCATGGGCCTCAGGCTGCTCTACTCGGCGGAAAAGTAGCAGGCTGCCGGCAGGTACAAGCAGATCACATGGCGACAGGAAGCAAGAGAGAGAGAGAGGAGGTGCCAGGGTCTTTTTAAACAACCAGCTCTGGAGGGAACTAATAGAGTGAGAACTCACTCATTAATCACCCCTCCCCCAGGGAAC